TTCAGTCCGAAAAAAATGAGGAAAAATTCTTTTTGACTAAAAAATGTTAGAAAAATGGTTATTTTTTTTACTCCTATTCATAATCGTGTAAAATGAAACGTAACGAATCCTCAGGACGATTATCGCGGAAAATCTGTTCGGGTTTTGAAATGAACGAAAAGGGCAAAAGTGAATGCAAGGATTCCCCTCTCTCATATTATATGTGTGTGGACCATCGCATCCGGAAGATATATATTAATAAATTTATTCACCCTCAGTGTTAGCCAAGCAAATAAGATCCGATTTGACACGCAAAAATTGCACGATGCTTATACGGCACTTTACTCCAAAGCATTCGTTCTTTCGGCGTCAAAACTATCCAGTTAGCTAATATCTATTTAATTAATTCGGAGCTCTATTGAAAAGGAGGAGAGACAGAATCAAACATTATGTTGTGTTGGATCCTTCAAAACTCTCTCTCCAGCACGTGCCACTATTTTCTCTTTCTGTCATGAGATTATCATTTGAGAATTTATCCGATTATTTATTACGTTTTCATTTTAATATCACAATTATGATTTCCCTCTTTTATATCAAGGAAAAAAAGATTATCAACTAAATTAAATTTCATTTTTGTTTTTTTTAAATAATTATTCAGAATTTATTTTAATTAATTAATTAATTAATTACTTAATTTCTTCTCAAAATATTTCTTTGTGGTTTTCTTGCTTGCAAAATAATATTTATTAAAAAAAAATTTGTCCCGTTTATTTTTGTATAAATAAAATATAAAGAAAAATAAATAACTAGAATTATATTTTATTTTATTTATTTATTTATCTATTTATTTTTATTTTATTTATTTTTTTTCGCTTTTAAAATTGTTGCTTCTTCTCAAAGGAAGCCTTATTTATTTTTATTTGGAAAAATTTTATTCTCCCTTTTTTATGTTTTTAAAAAATAATTTTAATTTCAAAATAAAAATAAAGAAATATAAATAAATTTTAGTTTTAATTCGATCTTGCCAGGATTTTATTTTTCTCTTATTCAGACTTCGCACTAGATAATTAATTTTAAAAAAGTATCAAAAAGTAGCTTTAAAACTAAAAAAAAAAAATAAAAACCAAAAAAGAAAATCGTTTTAGACACTTGACAAAACTGACAAAAATTCCATTCTAAATTTAATTTTCCTGACTTTTTCCAAATTCATTTTATTTAAATTTCATTTATTTATAAATAATAATTCATGGAAGAATTTAAATATTTATAAAAATAATTTAATTCTTGCGAAGAATTTTATAAAAAGTTTTAAGTAACTAATTTCTATCGACTAATTCTATGCAAATTCTAATTTAAATAATTGAATTCATAAGAAATTTTTATTATTCATAAAAAAAATTGAATTCTTACGAAGATTTTTACAAAAAAATTTTTAAATAATTGAATTCTGTTTGGAAATTTTATGAAAATAGTAGATATTAAAAATCATTGAATTGCAAAAAGTTTTTAAAAATAATTAAATTTTACAAAGAATTCTATTAAAATTTTTGACAATAAATGAATTTCTTGAATTGAATTGATTTATTTCCAACAATTTTATTCAAATATTTAAAAATAATTGAATTCCTGTAAAAAATTCTAATACTTTTGTAAATAATTGAATTCTTCCAAAGAATTTTAGAAAACATTTTTTTATATTTAATTGATTTTTTTGAGGAATTGAAATTAAATTTTTAAGAATAATTACATTTCTCGAACAATTCCTGTAAAATTGTATTATAAATATTTGAAATCCTGCGATAAATTTCATTTTTATGAAAATAATTGAATATCTGTTTAGCTTATTATTAAATTTTTTTGAAAATAATTTAATTCCTAAAAAGCATTTTATTATTTATGAAAATAATTGAATTCTTGACAACGATTTTATTAGAATTTTTTAAAAATAATTGAATTTCCAAGAAGAAATTTATTATTTTTAAAAATAATTGAATTCTTGTTAAAATGCCTCAAAATAATTGAATTATTTCAAAAAAATTTAATTAAAATTATATTTAAAATAATTGATTTCTTTCGAACAATTTTATTAAAATATTTGAAAATAATTGAATTTCTTGGGAAAAATTATAATATTTTTTGTAAATAATTGAATTCTTCCAAACAATTCAATTTTTGATGAATATTATCAATTTTAAAAAAAAATAATTGAATTATTTTGCGAAATTTCATGAAAATACTAGATATCGAAAATAATTGAATTTCGAATATTTTTTGTAAATAATTGAATCGTTTTAAAGAATTTGATTATAATTTTTGAGAATAGTTTTTTGATTTCAAAATAGTAGCAAATCGTTAAAAAAAGTTGTAAATAAATAAACTAATTTAATTAATTTCGATCTAAATTTTTTGAATATAATAGTTAATTAACGAAAAATCAAAAAATTTTCTACTAAAGAATTAATACTGAAGATTAATGAAAAAATAACTATTATTTATTTATATTTATTATTTTTTAGTATAATTTTATATACTGATTGAAATTTAGAGTGCTCAGAGATATTAGTCAATTATCTATAAAAGCTCTTAGTGTTTAATGTACAATGTAATTGACATTTAAAGAAACATCATTAATTATATCGTTTATCTAATAAATTTCAGTTATAAAAAAAACGAAAAAAAACTGTTGATGATAATTTTTAATGATGAAACGTTTTTAGTCTTTGAAAGCAAAAAGAAATTTTTTTTACCCAAATTAATTACCATTTATCTAATAAATTTCTTTTATAAAAAAAAACATTATGATAATTTATATTAAAGAAAGAAAACACTCTAAATTTTCGAAACAAAAGCACATTAAAGAACAATTAATATTCAATAATACAATTTTCTTGCAATCTTAACAAAAAAATTAAGAATTAGTGCACATTCAAGAAAAAAAAGAATATTTTGTCAATAACAGAACACTTTTCATTTAATTCAATAATATTTTCTAATGGAACGAAAAATAAATTTTTAATTTAATTCAAAAATCTTTTCCTATGAAAAAAAAAATTTTTCTAATTCGTAAATATTTTTTTCAAACAAAATATTTCTCATTCAAATTTGGAAATATTTTCTTTCAAACAAAAAATTTCTTATTTAGTTCGAAAATGTTTATTCCTCAAACAAAAAATAAATTTAGTTTTATTTTATATTTACAAAAATAAACGAGACATTTCGCTTTTTATTTCAAAATATTTTCGTTGAACAAAATAATGTTTGAAAACAAAATAATAGAGAAAAATTTCCAATTTCAAAATATTGTTTTTGAACAAAATAATATTTAAAAAACAAAAATAAAGAATAGGGAAAATTTTATAAATTTTCACTCAATTTCAAAATATTTTCTTTAAACAAAAAAAAATAATTGTAAAACAAACTAAAAATAGAGAAGAAAAATTGATTTTTTTGTGAACTAGTAGAAAATTTTTCGAGTTTTACATAAATTTCTCATTCTGTTGAAAATTTATGTACAGACAAAAATGAAAATATTGTTATTATTTTTTTAATAATAATAAACTAGGCGGATCTTAGAGACCTCCTTCGATAGAAAATTTGGCCAATGGACTCAACGGTGAAATTATTACTTCTCCGGAAGAACCAATCGCGAAGCAGGAATCTGGCGCACGTGCATTTGCACCCTTACAATTAAGGGTGGAATCAGGGACGTACTAACATTTTCCCACCCTTGCAATTATTATTTATAAATAAATATTCCTTATTTTTTAAATGAAAAAAAATTTTATTTTTCTTTTAATTAATAATTAATGTCGTTAAAGAAAAAAAAAATTTATTTAAAAAAATATTTTTTTATGCGCGGGAAAAACTTAATTTATCCGTCAATATTTATTTATTGTATCGAATAAATAAACAAATAAACTAATTAGATTTTACATCAACACTTGAAATTAATTCTAGTAACAAAAAATAATTTTTTATTTTTACCATTTTTTGTAAATTGTAAATTCTTTTTTTTTAATTATTATTTAATAATACTGATGATGTAATCGATTATTTGTTTCTATCAACAAAAGAAATTATTTGTATTAAAAAAAATAAATTAACTAAAAGCACAATTTTTATATTAAAACTTGAAAAATTAATCTTGATAAAAAATAATTCGTAATTCTTCAATTTTTTTTAAATTCAAAAATTAAATTAATTTCAATTTCTATCAACGAAAGAAATTATTATTTTGTACTTTGTAATTATTTTATTTATAATCAAAAAATTCTTCGTTTTAAAATTTTTTCATTCAAGGGGCTGTAATATAAATAAATAGATAAATAATTAAACAAATAATTATATATCTATTTAATAATTTTTCTTTTCAAAACAAAAAATAACAAAAAAATAATTTCTTTTATGATAGGAATTTTGTTATTTTATACAAATAATTTCTTTTGTTTCTAAAAACAGAAATTAATTCAATTTTTAAAGTTTTCAAAAAAAATATGACTAATAAAGTATTTTTGTATTTTTTAATTTATCTTCTAAAAAAAGTTGTTTAAAAAAATACCTGCCTGGATTTAATTAGAAAATCAGAACAAAATTCTAATTAATATTAGGAATATGATAATTTATATTAAATATTAATATTAATATTTAATAATAATATTAATAAATAATAAGAATAATAATAGGAATAATAATAATAGGAATAATAATAATAGGAATAATAATAATAATAGGAATAATAATAATAGGAATAATAATAATAATAGGAATAAATAATAAAAATAATAATAATACTAATAATAATAAAAAAATAATAATTTAAAGTTAAATAAATTTTTTTAAAAAATCATAAAAAGTTACTAAATAAATAAAATTTTCAAAAAAATTTTCTCCACCCCAAAGTAAAAAATTTGTCCCGGGGAATATGACTACACCCCTGTGAAAAGGGGCGTTCGCCAAGGAAATTTTGCACCCACCCTTCTTTTGTACCTTCACACCAGATAAGTTGGGTCGAAATTTTGATTTGCACCACATTGATAATTGAAATCGCGCCGATTACAGTCGATTAGGATTTTTAGTGCCAGTAAAAGTGTCATTCAAAAAGAATTTAAATCATTAAAAAAAATATATTTATCCATCACTTCTTTACGTCCCCCCCGGGAAAAGGGGTTGTTTCTTTTCGACCAACAGTGTTAAATTTTATTTTTTATTTTCATTTTTCAATATAAATTTACAAAAAAAAAATATTTTTTCAACAAGACAATTATTACGAACAAACTTCAGGATATGAACTACTCCGAACCTTTGTGGGAAATTAATGGAAATCAAGCACCGGTAAGTCGCTAAATTTTCAATGAGAAACATAAAGAATAAAAATAAATATAAATATGAAAAAAAAATTAATATCTACAGGAATTTAAACAAAAATTAATTAATTAATTTTAAAAAAATGCTTAATTTATTCAATTGATTAGTTGACTATTATCAAATAAATAATTGTATCAATTAATTTTTATTTAAAATATATTTATACTTTCACTCGAAACCAACAATTTTTACCAAATAAAATTTATTTGAAAGAATAAAAAGTTCAATTAAAAAAAAAATAAAAAGTTCAGAGTGAAAGCGTATAAAATTTATTTTCTTTCAAATAAATTTTATTTGTTACAAATGAAACTTTTATTTTTGACAAATAAAATTTGTATTTAAAACAAATGAATAATTTAGTTGGTTCTGAGATAATTTTATACGTTTGCTTAACTCGTATAAATTATTATATTTGATTCAGAGAAAATTTGTCTTTGGGGTGCAATCCTAATTCAAACATAAAATAAATTCTAGAAAATAGTAAACTTTTAATTAGCTAATAAATTATTTATTCAATAATTAATTATCTAATGAATTAATTCTTTAATAATTTATTTATTTATTCGTATAAACGGGATTATAATTATTTAATCAAATGATTATAATATTTTTTAATGAAAAACAAAGAAAATAAATTTAAAATTAAAAAAAAAGTATTTGCTTTAAATACGTGAAGTAATCAGTTCGAATATAGAATTTATTTGATTAATTAATTAATTTATTTATTATAAATTACATAAAATATTTTTATGAAATATTTCTTTCTCGTAAATATTTATAGCTCTCTCTAAATTTTAATTAGTATAAAAATGTTAACTAAATTAAATTAGTGAATGACTTTTTGCTTATGAATTTGTAAATTTCACTAATAAATTAGTAGAAATTACTATTTATTAGTAAAATGAATTGAATTTTCCTAATTCTAAAGCAAAAAGTAAGTCACTAAGTGAAATTAGTAAACATTTTTACCAATTAAAATTTAAAGAGACAATAGTCATACATAATCAATTGTTTGATTTAATTAATTTCTTTTAGCGTGTAAATTCAGATATAAAATATTATTTTATACAAAAAATAATATTTGCTAAACAAAATGCGTAATTTCTTTTTCGACAATTTTATTTAAAATTCTATTTAAAAAGACTTTATTAAAAAATGAATTTTCAAAATATTAAATTAATTAATTAAATAAAATTAATATTTAAATTTTTTACAATAAAAATAAAAAATTAATTTAACTAATTAATAAAATGAATTAAAATAAAAATGAAATTAGTTTTTATTAAAAAAAAATTTCTTTCGACAGATAATAAGTTCGGAGATGTCACAATACGTAGGAAGTGAATTAAGCAATTATCCAATGTGGGACGGATCAGTTTTATATCAATCACCACCACCAACCCATTCTCATGTCAATGAACATAGTTTATATCGACAACCCTGTGCTCTCTTACATCAAAGGTACTTTGATTAATTATAGCTTTTTAATTCATAATTTATAATTTATAATCCCTTTTATAGTAAATTTTCAATATTTTAATTAAAATCTTCTTTAAACTTAGGAGGAAAAAATTTTTCCTTTCTAAAAAATCGTGATTTTTAATTTGTAAGCAAGCTTTTCAGACTATTATCAATTAAATATTTACTTGAATCAAATAATTTTTATTTGACTTAACTAAATTGCGTATTTTTAAAGAAATTTTTTTTTCCATTTTTGGAAGACGATATATGAAAAAAATTAAAATTGAAAAACAATTATCTTTTTTCCATCATCTTCCAAAAATCAAAAACATTTTTTTTATTAATATTATAATGGAAGGGAAAATTATTTCAAACAGTATTTGCTTCAAATAATCAAATACCGAAATTATTGATTCAAATACAATTTAATTGACTTAAATAAAAATTATTTGATTCAAGTAAATATTTATCTGCAATAAATAGACAAATAATCGCGGTTATATTTGAATCCAATACATTTTTTTTCAGTGCGTAGATTATTTGGAAAATATTATTTCAATATTTAATTATTATATAAAAATCAAGAAAGTTAGTTAACAACGATTAGAATTTAGAGAATAATAATGAGCCTAAATGAAAAGGATGAAATTTTTTTCAGTCGCTACACACAAAATAGTCGTAGCCAGAATCTATCAACATCATCGTCAAAAAAACCGAGACGCAGAGTTGCAACCGTGTCTCAAAGAAGAGCAGCCAACATTCGAGAGAGACGTAGAATGTTTAATTTAAATGAAGCTTTCGACAAACTTCGCAGAAAGGTAAATTATTCAAAATATATTTTAACCAATTAGAGAAGATAAAATTACAAATATCAAAATATTTCCATACTCTATCCACGAATAAATGAAGTAATTTTTGTAAGAAGAACCAAAAATTAAAAAAAAGATCAGAAAGTTCAAAAAAATTACTAAAACCACTAATCACTCTAAAATCACTAATTTAATAGTGGAAAACTGTATTTATTGTATAACCCTTTATTTTTAAAAAACTTTTAATTTCATTAAAAGTAATTGTAATTATAAGGAATAGAAATAATGCAAATTATTTCCTTATGCGAAAATTGAGAATTTTCTACAAAAAAATTAAGAAACTTAATTAAATTAAATTGTTAATTAAAACACTGAAATTTTACAATCATTCACTTAATAGATAAATTATCCTTCATTTAGTAGTTTGCTCCAAAAAAAATTAACAGTTTTCTACTAAAAATTTCTAAAATACAAACTATTTAATTGATAAGCGAATTCTTACTCCTCAATTAATAGAAATCAGTAGGAAATAAACATTCAACTACTCCCAATGGGAAATTTACAACTGGCGTAGTACTGCGCCAGCACTGGCAGCACTGGCGGCAAGGCTGAGAGCCAGCACTGGCATGGCACTGGGATGATAACGCCGTCTGGCGCTGCCGAAGTACTGTCTGTCAGTGCTGCCAGACAGCGCTGGCGCAGCACTGGACCAGTGCTGGCTGAGAATATTGCCGCAATAAATGCCGTATTGTTATTAATTAGTCGCAAATTCATAATTATAAATAATTTAACAACAAAATGGTAAATAATATTAATAAATAGTTATTATTCATAAGATATTTCTCTTCTTAAAGAAATTGTATTAAAGATGGAGACTAACAATGGATATAGTAAATGAAGTAGAAAAAAATTGTTTATAACATTTAAAAATTAAATAATAAACAATTACAGTAAGTGTGCATTTGGTTTTCATATTTTAGTACCTAACGATTGGAATCTAGAAATATCGCAAACCCATGAAAATAAACAAAATTGCTGACGAGGGGAATCGAACCTATGACCTACGGACTAACAGACTAACGCTCTAACCACTATGCTAACGACACATGTGTACAGTAAAGTATTAATATCTCAGTATCATTCAGACATACAATTATTGAGTCAAAGATGAGAAAAAAATAGGGATACGTTAGAAATAATAAATTGAAATAAAATAAATTAAACTAAATTTTTAAAAATTAAATTACTTTACTTATTGCATTTAACATTTTACGTAATTCTTAAATTACGTCGTAATTTTTTAATAATTTTTTATTCATAGTAAGAAGTATAATAGTATTTTAATAGAAACCAAATTATTATTGAGATTAAAGTTTAAATTTTGTTTATAATTTTAATTTGTTTAAATAATTTATTATTTGCAAAATTAGACAATTGTGTTAAATTGTTATTATTAAATTTAATAAGAATAAAAAATGAACAACTGAAAAGTAAAATATTAATTTTTTTTAATAAATTTATATTTATAAACATTTATAAACTTTTTTTATAATTTTTTTCAAGTTTATGTCAAAAAAGCAATGTTGGCAAAGAGCGTTGTGAACAATTTTTCTATACTCAGCCAGCACTTGCCGCCGTGGCTTGTCCAAGCTTTGGCGAAACAAAAATTCTGTACTGCGCCAGCACTAATTGTCGAGGCTCGGCTAGACTACGCCGAACAATCGTCTGAGTACTAAGCCAGTGGTGAACATCGGCACTACACTGGCATTTCCCATTGGGCTAATACAATTAATCTAGAGTACAGAAAAAAATAATAAAATAAAAAAATAAGCTAACTTTTTTGTTTTTTTTCACAGGTTCCAACCTTCGCCTACGAAAAGCGTCTATCGAGAATCGAAACACTTCGACTAGCTATCACATACATTGCATTTATGGGAGAATTACTGGGAATCGAAGCGTCTAGTCCAAAGCAAGATTATATTCCACGGGACTACTATTTACCAAATTAACATCCATTATAGTGATTACAAAAATTATATTGACTGAAAACGTCTTCCATTAATTTTTAAGAAGCTTATGCGACGATGTAGACAAATAAAATTACGATAACAAAACTCTAGTCATTTAAAGATTGTATATTTAAGAATAATAATAAAATCAAATCAAAAAGCTTGATTTCAATTTTTTTATTATTTAGAACTTTTTTCTATATTATTCCATCATTATTTTGTATTTATTTATTTTATTTATTTTATTTATTTTATTTATTTTATTTATTTTATTTATTTTATTTATTTTATTTATTTTATTTATTTTATTTATTTTATTTATTTTATTTATTTTAATTCGTTTTTGTCTCGATTTAATTATCCTTAAGGAAACTGAGATAATATGTTTAAAATAAATAATGTGTTTAAAATAAAATAAAAATAAAATAATATTTATTATACACATTAATTTAATATTATAATAAACTAGCCAAACTATCCGCGCGCAAGCGCGCGGGAATGTTGTATGGGGCTGCTTATTTTAAACAATTTAAAAAATTTTAAAGAAATAATTATTATAACCTAACAAAGAGATTTAACTAACTAAAATTCAAATAATTTCACTCAATGGTCTCAATTTAAATAGAATTTACATTACTAGACTTAAACTATGGCTAGAACAATTACAATTAGTATCTGGGTCATCTTTTGCATTGCTTATTTTATAAAGCCATTTTAAATTAAATACTTTTTAAAGAAATAATAATTATTACACACTGAAAAAAGTTTTACTTGAAATAGCGATAAGTTTCTCTAGAATAACGAAAGTATTAATTGAAGCACTAAATAATTTCGCTACTAAGAGGAAATCTGTAGTTCATCCAGCTAAATATTTTTTGGCGTGCATAACGAAAAAAGAATTAAATTAACATCAGATTTTCTACATTCAAAAAAAACGAATTCAAATAGAAATTAATCATTTTACAACTTAACCAAATTCACCCCAGAAATCACTGAATTCGATAATTTAGAAGAAAGTCAGACAAAAGCAGGGTTCCTACAAAATCTGGAAATCATGGAAATCATGGAAATGGTATGGAATTTTTAAAAGGCTTCTGGAAATCAGGGAAATCATGGAAAAGGCCTGGAATTTTTAAAAGTTTCTAAATGTTTTCAGTTTTCCATTTTTTTTCTTGAATAAAAATTCAAATAATAATAAAGCTAAATGGTATAAAAGCGAAAAAAAATGTTGAATTTCAAGAAATTCAATTTTTCGGATTTTTGATAATTTTTTATTTTTTTCCAAAGAGTCGAGACAATTTAATAAGTAAAGTATTTTCCAAAAGCACAAAACAATGAAGCTAAATCCCATAAAAGAGAAGAAAAAATGTTGAATTTTAAGAAAATCGGATTTTTGAATTTTTTCGAATTTTTGATAATTTTAGATTTTTTACCAAAGAGTCGAGAGTATTAAATAAGTAAAGTATTTTCCAAAAGCACAAAAATAATGAAGCTAAATCCTATAAAAGAGAGGAAAAAATGTTGAATTTTAAGAAATTCGGATTTTTGAATTTTTGATAATTTTCGATAATTTTAGATTTGTTACCAAAGAGTCGAGACAATTTAATATGTAAAGTATTTTCCAAAAGCACAAAAATAATGAAGCTAAATCCCATAAAGGAGAAGAAAAAATGTTGAATTTTAAGAAAATCGGATTTTTGAATTTTTTCGAATTTTTGATAATTTTAGATTTTTTACTAAAGAGTCGAGACAATTTAATAAGTAAAGTATTTTCCAAAAGCACAAAAATAATGAAGCTAAATCCCATAAAAGAGAAGAAAAAATGTAGAATTTTAAGAAAATCGGATTTTTGAATTTTTTCGAATTTTTGATAATTTTAGATTTGTTACCAAAGAGTCGAGACAATTTAATATGTAAAGTATTTTCCAAAAGCACAAAAATAATGAAGCTAAATCGCCATAAAAGAGAAGAAAAAATGTTGAATTTTAAGAAAATCAAATTTTTGAATTTTTTCGAATTTTTGATAATTTTAGATTTTTTACTAAAGAATCGAGAGTATTAAATAAGTAAAGTATTTTCTAAAAGCACAAAAATAATGAAGCTAAATCCCATAAAGGAGAAGAAAAAATGTTGCAATTTAAGAAAATCGGATTTTTGAATTTTTTCGAATTTTTGATAATTTTAGATTTTTTACTAAAGAGTCGAGACAATTTAATAAGTAAAGTATTTTCCAAAAGCACAAAAATAATGAAGCTAAATCGCCATAAAAGAGAAGAAAAAATGTTGAATTTTAAGAAAATCGGATTTTTGAATTTTTTCGAATTTTTGATAATTTTAGATTTTTTACTAAAGAGTCGAGAGTATTAAATAAGTAAAGTATTTTCCAAAAGCACAAAAATAATGAAGCTAAATCCTATAAAAGAGAGGAAAAAATGTTGAATTTTAAGAAAATCAAATTTTTGAATTTTTTCGAATTTTTGATAATTTTAGATTTTTTACTAAAGAATCGAGAGTATTAAATAAGTAAAGTATTTTCCAAAAGCACAAAAATAATGAAGCTAAATCGCCATAAAAGAGAAGAAAAAATGTTGAATTTTAAGAAAATCGGATTTTTGAATTTTTTCGAATTTTTGATAATTTTAGATTTTTTACCAAAGAGTCGAGAGTATTAAATAAGTAAAGTATTTTCCAAAAGCACAAAAATAATGAAGCTAAATTCCATAAAGGAGAAGAAAAAATGTTGAATTTTAAGAAAATCGGATTTTTGAATTTTTTCGAATTTTTGATAATTTTAGATTTTTTACTAAAGAGTCGAGACAATTTAATATGTAAAGTATTTTCCAAAAGCACAAAAATAATGAAGCTAAATCCCATAAAAGAGAAGAAAAAATGTAGAATTTTAAGAAAATCGGATTTTTGAATTTTTTCGAATTTTTGATAATTTTAGATTTTTTACCAAAGAGTCGAGAGTATTAAATAAGTAAAGTATTTTCCAAAAGCACAAAAATAATGAAGCTAAATCCTATAAAAGAGAGGAAAAAATGTTGAATTTTAAGAAAATCAAATTTTTGATTCTTTTCGAATTTTTGATAATTTTAGATTTTTTACCAAAGAGTCGAGACAATTTAATAAGTAAAGTATTTTCCACATTAAAAAGTTTGACATTAAGAAATATATAAAAAATGCCAATACTTAACCCACAAAATTAAATTTTCAAAACAAACAAATGAATGCAGATAATTTGCTAACGGAAAGGAAACTTACGATTATTATAATGTATGTATATGTATATTTCTATTTTCTATCAAAACGTATAAAAAACAAAAGAATAACTATAACTAACTTCAAGTGTGGACAGAGATCCGGAAATCTGGAATCACGACGATTATTATATATAATAATTAATAATAATTGTTTATTATTTATTATTAATAAAATACAATATAAATTAAAATATTTAAACACCTAGAAAAAAGGTATTTATAATATTTGAATCACTAAATTGCTTCCTAAACCTTTTATTTCTTTAATATAAAAATTTGAATTGTTTACTAAAATAATTTTTATTTACTTACTTAAATAAATAAATAAAAATTTTATTTGTATCGAATCAAATTTGTATTTGAAATGCAAAAAAATTATATTTGGTTTAAATAAAGTTTTTCTCTAATTGTATAATTATAAAAATTAACAAATCCTAAAATTTACGAAAACGGTTTGCGCATTTTTGTCAAAAACAATGCTTTAAAAAAATTAATTTTGTTCAAAACTAAGAGGGCTGGGGGGGATACCTAATTCAAATTAAATAACTAATAAAATTACATTAATTTTTGTGAATTTTAATAATAAAAAAAAATATTTTTAAAATTAAACCCTATAAAGTATTTAAAAAGAAATACGATAATGAGAAAATAAAAAAAAGGAATAAAATAACTCACAGTTGCTGATTTTCTCACCGTAGAAATCTCCTTCCCTGTAAAATTAAGAATTTGAAAAAATCTTGTAATAAACATTTACTGCAAATTTAAAAAAATGAAATTAAAAGTTATTGTTCTTAAATAAAATTAAATTTAAAAAAAAAGTTCAGATAAATATTGAAACGTACGTTAATATTGCGCTCAGCTGTGTTAAATCTCCTCCAGAAGCACTTCCACAAAACTCCATTCTTGAAGAAACAAACACCTGCAATAAAAAAAAAATAAATTAACTATATATTCTTTCTGGAAACTAGACAGTAAAATATGAACAAAAAACTTTCTTTTTGACAAACTAAATCATTATTATACCCAAAAAAGTGATGGAATTAAAATAAATAAATTTAATTTATACTAATTCTAATGTAATTCATCAACTTTAACTCAATTTTAATGCAATTGAAATTGCGTTTCAATTTAATTCTATACAATTCTATTATTTTTCATGGACTGTTCATAACCAAGATTATAGCTGGGATGTTGCTGAACGACATCCTGAAGGATAAAAAATTTTATTGTAACTTTTATGCGCCTTTAAATAAAAGTAACCACAACCGAATACTAGCAGAAGATCATAATTGTCCTAAAAAGATTTTAAATTTAATTCCATTCAATTGTAGTATTTTTTATGGACTGCTGACAGTCTAAATTGTTGCTGGGACGTTGCTGAACAACATCCTAAAGGTTAAAAAATTTTGTTGTAATTTTTAAGCGCTTTTAAATAAAAGTAACCACAGCCGCCAACCAGCAGAAGATCAAAATTATCATAAACTTTAAATTCATTTCTTTTAAATTTTAATAATTTTTATGAACTGTAAACAATCTATATTGTTGCTGGGATGTTGCTGAACAACATCCTGATGAATAAAAAATTTTATTGAAACTTTTAAACGCTTTTAAATAAAAGTAACCACAGCCGCCAACCAGCAGAAGATCAAAATTATCATAAACTTTAAATTCATTTCTTTTAAATTTTAATAATTTTTATGGACTGTAAACAATCTATATTGTTGCTGGGATGTTGCTGAACAACATCCTGACGAATAAAAAATTTTATTGAAAGTTTTAAACGCTTTTAAATAAAAGTAACCACAGCCGCCAACCAGCAGAAGATCAAAATTGTCATAGAAAGAAGTTTAAATTCATGTCTTTTAAATTTTAATAAATTTTATGGACTGTAAACAATTGAGAT